TTGTTCGTCGAGTCTACGATACATGCGTAGAATGCTCGTAGATCTACGGGTATTATCATTTCTTAAAAATATAAAAAAACTTGGACGAGCAAATCAGTTTTGGGACACATCAATTCTGTAGTCGATCCCCTACTCGAGGAATCCTAGCGTCTCGTTTTTTTGTTCGAGCCCAACGTTGGCGCCTGGTCTCGGGGCAGATCGATTCGACTCGAAACATGGCGCACAGACAAACGTGGTCTGGGGCTGCGGTCGTGATCTTTCGCGACGTTGCAGCCCTTTCGTCGTCGTGGCCGAGGCCGTCGAGGTCGTCGAGGATCGATGGAGCCGAGGGAGGCTGGACCCAGAGGTCAGGTACGACGGATGGACGGGGTCTGGCGCTGCCGTCGTGATCTTTCACGATGTCGCAGCTTTTTCGCTGCGTCGGATCTCAGGGAGGGTTTGGTCCGATAGGGTGTGGCCTTCTGACAAGGCAGGGGGCACCTCTCAGAGCCCCGAGCCATCAGGGCTGGGGGTGGTCAGGGATAATTCGCTCCTGGTTCGTGCCCCAGGGGCCCGAACATGCACCGGAGTTGACCCAGAGAATTCGGGCGTCCAACCCTTCCAGAATCAGGGGGGCTGGGGGTGGTCAGGGGTACAACTTATGGTTCGTGCGTCGGAGGCCAAAACTGGAGTTAGCCCAGTCTGGACTTATCCCGGGTAACTCGGGCGTCCAAACCTCGTGGCAAGACGAAGCCAGGACGGGGACAACATCGGAACGGGACACATCTGGGATCTCTCAGATCCGGCGGTTCTGGAGGATGTATCGGGCACCACGGCGGCCGTTCCAAAGCGCTCGGGAACGATGTGAGAGCGTTCTGGAACGCTGTGGAACGATCTACCCTGAGATCCGACGTAGCGAAAAACATGTACAATCGACAAACAACACGCCTGGAGCCCCAGACCCCTGCACCATTTTTCCAGGCGGATCGGTCTGTGAGGGCCCCCGGGGCCGCAAGAAGGCGAAAACGCTGGGCTCGAGAACATTGAGACGCCAGGGTCTCAGGGCGGGTCCTTGCCCGACAGGGGCAGTTCTCAGGGGGGGAAAAAACACACAGACACAATTAATCGTCGATTCCCCAGAAAATATGGGAAGTGGGGGGGAAGACAAGAACCCAGACAATATAGGAAAACATGGGGAATCATTTTATTTGCGTGTATCTATTTGTGTGTTTGTGGGCCCCTTCAAGTTCGCCCTCCCCGACAACGCAGGCCGCTCGACAGCTGCCGACTCCGGGCCGTCGGCGCGTCTGCTTCCGGACAGAGCGGGTCTTCCGCAATGGGTCGCCAAAAAAAAGTGCAGCAGATCGTCCTGTGGCTCATGGCGCGTGGCCTGTCTCACGAAGCAGCGATGCCAAGCGCAACGCGCTCTGCCCGCACCCAGCACGATGCAGCACGAACCATTGCACGAGCTGCTGCGCACACTCCTGAGCCCCCCTCTGCGGAGGGCCCGTCAGCCCGTACCTGACGCGTGCCGCCGGGGCACTGGCTCAGGGGCATGTCCGGCCTCGGCAGCACGTGCAGCTCCGGGGCCCAGTGCGTCGGGAGGATCGGCGGAGGCAGGAAGGGCGGATATCCAATCGGGGTCCCCAGAGCCCTTCTCCCTCCTCCTCCTCCTCCTCCTCCTCCTCCCTCCTCCTCCTCCTCATCCTCCCTCCTCCTTCTCCCTCCTCCTCCTCCTCCTCCCTCCTCCTTCTCTTCCGCCTCCTCCTTCTCCTCCTCTTCCTCCTCCTCCATTCTCTTCTCTTATACATAGCTTCTCCCTGTCGCACCCCGAGGCCAATTTTTAGAGCGGGCCAGGCGTTTCGCCTGAGACTTCATCACCATACCTGACTCTGAAGCCTATGCGTTGGCAACCGTTTCGCAGATGGAGGGCGGGTAATTTTCAAAATGTGGGTCTCGCATTCGCGCCGCGTACATTCGTCTTAAACAGTTACAAGAGTTTCACAGATCGAGGGCGTGCCGTTTTCAAAATGTGGCTCTCGCCTTCGCGTGCAAAAGTTTCACGGATTGCATGCGTTTCTTTTTCAAACTGTGGCTCTCGCCTTAGCGCCGCGCACATTCGTTTTGAACATTTGCAATCGTTTTGCGGATTGAGGGCGATTCCTTTTTTAACTGTGGCTCTCGCCTTGGCGCCGCGCACATGTGTTACTAACACTTGCAAGAGTTCAACGGATTCCCATGATCAGCGTACCTGAACTTGTGTTTTGGAAGGATTCATGCTTATGAGTGTGCAACATGTACGTTGGTTTGCGGTGTTGAAGTCCCAGTAGTGGCGTTTTAGCACTATTCAGGGTCGTCAAGAGGCAACAATCAGGTTGATCCGTGGCGTTGGAATCCCGAGAACAATGTTTTGGCATGCTTCAGGATCTTCAAACAGTTGTCTTTCAACGAGGCCGTTCCCTTAGGGAAAATGAGCCGTTGTAGGGGCCTATGAAGAGGGAACGTGGAGGGAGGGTTTATT